ACGGCCGACCGCCGTAGCATCGAAGCGTCTAGAAACGAAATGACACGAGCATCCACTATAAAAAATAGGTTGGTGCTGAACTCAACGCTGCTTGGAAACACTCATAAGAGCAATGGCAGGCTGAGAAGCGCTGCGGGCTCAAGTGAGTCATTCCGTGCAGCGATACAACAGGACCTGAGAGCTCAGAAGCACCGCAGACGCATGCATGTCAGCGGCGGCTGCAAGGCGAGAGGCTGAAGGTAAACATCGCTGGCTATCTGCAAGGCGTATAAGAACTCGCCAAGCAAGCAGAGAAATAACCGAACGCACGCTCGGAGGAGCAAGCTCGGCAGAGCAGAAGCACTGCATGTAGGATGCAAGCGGCGGTGCCCTGAATCCCACGATGCACGGATACATAACAGCGCAGGCTGAGAAGCAACGCGCGAGTACAGGCTGAGAAGCACCAAGCGAGCGGACTGAGCAGCGGCACCAAGACACTCTGTGTCTCACGGTTCCTCAAGCTCGCGCAGGCCAGCCTAGCTCTTCTCGGGCTTTCGCGCAAGCGATCTTCGTCGCGGCAATCTTGTCCGTGAAGAGCTTGGCGAAGGCCTTGGCGATCTGTTCGGGGGGGCCGGATTCGATGATGCTCTGGTCAGGCAAGCCGTGACTCAAGAGCTGGCGGAAGCTCCTGGGCCGCGAGAGGCTGACGTAGTAGGCCAGCCAAATGGATTCCTTCTTGAGTCCTGGCGGAAAAGCCCAGTGCACTATGAAGCCTGGGTCCGCCGTCTTGCCCTGCACGCCATGCAGAGTGCCCTGCTTCTTGGGCAGCACGGGCAACTGTGTCCTGGAAACCGCGATGGCCGGACCACCTGTCGCCGCTTTGAACTTCCAGGGGCGCGCCAGCGGAGTGATCGCGAGCACTCCGCGCAGGTCGGGGCCGGCAGGCTGAGAAGCTTTGCCAGCTGTCACTGGCGCGGCCTTCAAGAAGACTTCATCGCTGTTGTCGATCTTGACATAGACGGCCTTTGGCATGTAGCGGAGTAGCACAAGACCATCGGAGACAATGGACGGACGGCCCTCCACTGGAGGCTCCAGAGCGTGCAGCTCTACGCCTACCACCTTGCCCGGCGCGCCACGGACATACGTAGGTGGCAAAACAGACTCCGTCAGGATGACCTCCATGCCGACAGAGAGCGGCAGCAGCCCTGGCATTTTTGCCGTAACGCCGATGTTGGGCTCCGCGCGCATCTCGTCGAAGTCAGGTTTCGTGAGGCGCGCAGCTGGTCTGTCGATTGCCGACACGTAGAAGAGCAGCTGGCGAGCGTCGTGCGCATCAAGCTTGGCCTGCGCATACATGGCGTAAGAGACGATGCGTCACTCATATGCCGACTCGTACCAGCCTCGTGCTGCACGCAAGCGGTCGTCCCAGTGAGGTTGCTGAGCGGCTTCGCTGCTGGTGGCAGAAGGCTGAGCAGCACTGCTGGGGACAACGACTTCTGTTTTGACGATCGCCTGCCAGCTCTCGTCAGAGATCTTAGTTGCCGCCGGGAGTCCTCATGGCGTGGAGGGCCTCGAGCTGCAACGGGTCTGTAAAGCGCTGCATCTGCACAAAGTCGATGACGTAGCCCCAGGAAGCATTTAAGAACCCCCCCCCCCCCTTCCGGCAAATCGATAACCCTTCCGCACCCTGGAAGCGTTACCTGGCACCGGGGGCCCTCCTCCTCCTCCTCATCCTCCTCCTCCTCCTCTCCTCCACCCACGAACTTCCTCCTGCCCCCTCCTCCTCCTCCTCCTCCTCCTCCTCCTCCTCCTCCTCCTCCCGCGCCCCCCCCCCCTTCCCTCGGGGCCCAAGGCCTGTCAGGGCACAAGTCACCTGGGGTTTCCCCTCTGGGCCTTCTCCTGAGCAAGAGGAGGAGACGAGATGAGGAAGAATCCTAGATAAATCCTTAGGAATCCCTAGGACACCCGCAGGAATAGAACTGGGTTGTTTTTTTTCGCGTGGCCGGGTGCTAAGATAACGCCACGGTGCGGGGGGGGCGGGATACCCTCTCGTGGACCCCCCCTAGGACGGCCGATGAAAATCAATTTCTAGAAGGGTTTTGAATGAGAAATCTCTTCCAAGAGACCAGCAGATCAGAAGAGAGAAAAGGAGGAGGAGGAGGAGGAGGAGGAGGAGGAGGAGGAGGAGGAGGAGGAGGAGAGGAAAAGGAGGAACAAGACAAGGAACGTGAACAGGAAAAGGAGGAGAAGCAGGAGCAGGGAAAGCTTCTCAGTTGTCTCAGTTTTCTCAGCTTTCCCAGGTTTCTCAGCTTCCCCAGGTTTCTCAGCTTTCCCAGGTTTCTCAGCGTTACCAGTTGATTCAGAACGGATCGTCGGCAGATTGTCCTGTGTCTTGCCCAGGTCAGATTGGATTCTTGATGAGATGGAAGCGTCGCTCACAAGTCTGAAGCACTGGAAGGAGAGGAGGCGATGGAGGAGGAGGAGGAGGAAGAGAAGGAGGATAACGAATGTTTAGGAATCTCTAGGAATCCTCAGGAATCCTGAGGACCCTGTAGGAATCCTTAGGAATCCTAACATTAATGAGGAATCCTCTGGAATTTGTGACGAGCCCTTAGGAATTTAAAGGAGTCTTCTGGAATTCTGAGGAATCCACAGAAAGCTTTAGGAAGGCGCAGGCATCGTAAGGGAATCCTTAAGAATCCTAGATAAATCCTTAGGAATCCCAAGGACACCCGCAGGAATAGAACTGGAGTGTTTTTTCGCGTGGCTGGGTGCTAAGATAACGCCACGGTGCGGTGGGGGGCGGGATGCCCTCTCGTGGACCTTCCCCTAGGACGGCCGATGAAAATCAATTTATAGAAGGGTTTTGAATGAGAAATCTCTTCCAAGAAGCCAGCATATCAGAAGAGAGAACACGAGGAGGAGGAGGAGGAGGAGAAGGAGGAGGAGGAGGAGGAGAAGGAGGAGGAGGAGGAGGATGAGAGGAGGAGGAGGAGGAGGAGGAGGAGGAGGAGGAGGAGAGGAGAGGAGAAGGAGGAGCAAGACAAGGACCATGAATTCATAAGCAGTAAAGGAAAACCTTTAGGACTCTTAAGGAATTCTTGCGAATCTTTTGGAATTCTCCAGATTCCTGAGGAATCCTGTGGATTCCTTGGAAATATACAGGAATCCCTGGACATCCTTTGAATCTTTTATGAATCCTGACGAATCTTTGTGAATCCGTAGGAATCCTTGAGAATCCTGCGGAACTTGTATGACACCTGATGGATCCATTCAAGTCGTTAGGAGTCATCAAATATGCTTGCGAATATTAATGCTATTATCATCGCATGAATTTTCCAAGCAGCAAGCGACATCCTGAGTCTTTCATGAGAGCCACGCAGATTTGAATTTCGCATTTCGATTGTGGCCCAGGGGCCAGGCCTCCGCGAATTTGTTTTGTGTCCGGGTGCTAAACCTATCGTTCGGTAATTTCGGCCCCTCGGAATATCGAATAAAAATGCGGTGCTAAGATATCGCCGGGGGGTTTCTTAAATGCTTCCTGGGGTTACTCGAAGTCGGCGAGCAACTTCCTACCCTGTTGGTGCTCGTAGGACTGGTTAGTGTGAGGCGCCGGCAGGGAGGCGCTGGCGGGGGGGGACTGGCGGCAACTGGTAGAAGTCCCCGCAGAGGATCTTCACCGCCATGCGCCCCCACGTCTCCTGTGGGCGCATGTACTTCGTGGGGTCGAGGTTGTAGCGCAACGCCCTGCTGTAGGTCGTGCGAAGTGCATCCGCATGCAGCAAGGGCCCCGGCAGGCCGAGATTGTGCGCGGCGTGATTGGACTGTGCTTTGCCGAGGTACCCCTGCTCGCCG